TACTACTAGTACTACTACTACTACGACTACTATTACTACCACTACTACTACTACTACTACTACTACTACTACTACTACTACTACTACTACTACTACGACTACGACTACTACTACTACTACTACTACTACTACTACTACTACTACTACTACTACTCTACGACTACTACTACTACTACTACTACTACTACTACTGCTACTACTACTACTACTACTACTACTACTACTACCGATGTATGTTGCGCTTCCTCCTCCTCCTCACCATTCATCCTCTCCCGTTGCTCATCCCCCCTTGTTCATCCTCCTCCTACCCTCCTTACCTGTATCTGCCCCGCTCTCTTACTCACCCATCTGGGAGGGCAGCCGTGGGCATCGCAAGGCTGTCCTCCAAAGGGCTTCTGCTACCCGCGGCAGTCCGCAAGGCGTTTGGTATAGATGCGGTCGCGCAGGAAGGAAGACGACGGGTCCGGCTGCAAGAGGCACAGGAGCCGCATGGCCGCCGTGAGGCGTCCAGAGTTCGCAAGGATTTCCTGGGGCGCACTCGGCCGCGCCCACGCCGTGGTCCTCCTCCTCCTCTTCCTCCTCCTCCTCTTCCTCCTCACCACCTCCACCATCACCACACTCCCCGTCAGATCGTCAACATACCACCACCACATGAACATCACACGACCATCATGCTTATAACATCATGATCATTACCTTTTTGCATCGCCATACACCTGGGTGAAAAGACGATCCCTCCGATGGGCGCACCACCTGCGTGTCGTTGCCTAATCCCCCCCCCCCCGAGCGCGGTACCTAGCCTCAGTGGAGACGAGCACCTCAAAGTCAAGGGCGTGCAGGGGCTGCGGTGAGAAGAAATCATGCGGAGGAGGAATGAGAGGTAGGGAATGAGGAGGAAGGATGCGGGATGAGGGAGGAGGCCGGAGTGGGGAGGCAGGTGGGAAAAGCGAGGAGGAAGAAGGCAGAAGGCACAGCAGGATAGGAAGAGGAGAAGAAAGAGGAATGGAATTGAACAACGAGGGATAACCGAGGTGGAGAACGACAACGACGACAATCCTCGTCAAACGTGTCCTTCTCCTCCTCCTCATCATCATCATCCTATTTCTGGCTCTCCTCACCCTTCCTCCTCCTCCTCCTCCTGCGCATCCCTCCTCTCTCTCTCTCTCTCTCCTCACTCCTGCCCATCATTCCTCTTTCTCCCATCTCCTCATCATGCCCTCCTCCCCCTGCCCATTGATACGCCGGCCAGTAAAAAGCTGGTGAAGCACATCGAGGCCAACAACCCTCATCTCTCATCCTCATCCCTCGCAACGGCAGGCGCTAAGGTTCACGCCTGCTCGGACCAGACCTCCTGCTCCTCATCCTGATGTTCGACCTCCTCAGCCTCCACCCCTGCCTCCTTCCCTCCTCGCCGTCCGTCCTCCTAACCTCATCATCCTTTCTCATCCATCTCCCTCCCCGTCATCCTCCCTCATGCCGCCCGCCACTCATCCTCAACCCTTCATTTCTCCCTCTCACAAGAACCGTCTTGGCTCGAACGCGCCTCCTGCGCCGTTCTGCCGCTCCGCGCCTCAGCGAGGCAGTCGTGTGGCTGCGCCCGCAACAGCGGCGAGGAGGCAGCTCTCCTCGGCGGCGGCGCCAGCGAATCCGGAGCGAAGTTTAGCGAGATGGACTCTCAAAAACGTGGCAGTTCTCGAGGGCGCGGCGCAGCAGGGAAGAAGCCCGTGGGTTTCGAGAACGGCTGGACCCGCTGTACCCGCTGTACCGCATGCAAGAGGTGCGACTTGGACAAACGCTCGGAGACGAAGCAGTGGCTATGCCAATGTGGTGCCACAGTCCAACGCCCGCCCACGAAGCCCCCTCGGCGCTGCGGTGGTGACTGCATGAGAAACGACCTCTAGCAGCCAGGAGGTTCGCCGATCAACACGGCCCAGGCAATGGCCAAGGAGGTTGAAGCGACTGGCTCACTGCTGGCCGATGTCACGGCAGTCCTCGAGCTGGTCCAGCAACACATACAGAAGGCCCCCGCAATCAAAGACTCGAACTCCGTGGACGATGCCGTCAGGCAAACTGCTGGTGAATGTACAGATCTGGAGAGTCGCCATGGAGCCGCAGTCAACTCAATATTGCGCCTCCGTGCGAGCTACGAACCGGCCCAGGCCATGGAGCAGAGCTGGCGATCCCCTTGGCGGCGGCCGAGGCACGCAAGCGTGCGGCAGGGGCGGCCGTGGCGCGCATGACCAAGCCAGGTGAGCCTCACAAGCAGCCCGACGAACGCGGGCCGAACGAGAACGAACTGCTCTTCAAGCTCTCGTGGGACGGTGCTAGTTTTCGCCGAAGTTGACGGGCTCGGCACCGAGGAGCGGGCAAAGATGACGCAGCTGAAGGCGGACCTCCTGGAGACCAGAACCAAGCAGACTCACGCCTACGTCCAGTGAGGTGAAGGCCAAGCTGGAGCCGGCGATAAAAATTGGCGCCGTGGGCCCGTGCGGCCAAAGCAGCGTCAGGCCGCAGAGGGGGCGACGGCGCCCGCACGGCAAGAGGCGGAGACCATGGCAGAAAGGGCTCACGGGTCTCAGCCCAGAAAGACAAGGGCGAGACTCAGGAGAAGAGGTCGAGCGAGCCCAGAAGGACAAGGGCGAGCCCACTCGCTCGCTCAGCCCAGAAGAAGAAGGGCGAGCCCACTCGCTCGCTCGCTCGAGGTCGAGCGCGACGCAGCGATGCGTGCCGAGGCCGTCAGACTCAGCCGCGCGAGAGTGGGCTTGACAGAGAATGATGCTGGTGAAGGACCCAACCATATGCAATTGTAAATAATGTTTTGTGGGGGCTCCTTATGGGGCCACGATAGGCGTGCAACGAAACGCTGTCCTGGGCGTACAGGACGCATCAGGGCGGTAGCACTGGGGCCTTCGGTGGAGCTCCCTATGGGGCCACGAAACGTGTGAGGGGTGTGCCGAAATGGGTGACCGCCGCCATGCCAACGCAGCCACTGGGGCCTTCGGTGGGGCTCCCTATGGGGCCACGAAACGTGTGAGGGGTGTGCCGAAATGGGTGCGGCGCCGCATGCCAAAGCAGCCACTGGGGCTTCGGTGGAGCTCCTAATATGGGCCACGAAAACGTGTGACGGGTTGTGCCGGAAATAGGGTGCGGCGCCGCCAATGCCAACGCAGCACTGGGGCCTTCGGTGGGAGCTCCCTATGGGGCACGGAAAGTGTGAGAGTGTGGCGAAATGGCGCGGCGCCGCCATGCCACCGCAGCCACTGGGGCCTTCGTTTGGAGTCCCTCATGGGGGACCGAAGTGTGATGGGGTGTGCCGAATATGGGTGCGGTGGAGGCCGCCATGCACGCTGGCCCGTGCCCATGGGGAATTCGGTGGAGCTCCCTATGAGGCCACGAACTGTGAGGGTGTGGTTAGTTGCCGAAATAGGGCGCGGCGCCGCCATGCCAACGCAAAGCCATGGGGCCTTCGGTGAAGCTCCCTATGGGGCCACGAAACGTGCGAGGGGTGTGCCAAATTGGACGCGGCGCCGCCATGCCAACGCAACCACTGGGGCCTTCGGTGGAGCTCCCTATGGGGCCACGAAACGTGTGAGGGGTGGGTGGGGGGGGGGGGGCCCGCGAAATGGGGCGCGGCGCCCGCCATGCCACTACGCAGACTGGGGCCTCCGGTGGAGCCCCTTATGGGGCACGAAAACCGTTGTGAGGGGTGTGCCGAATGGAGTGCGGCGGGTGCATGGAACCATGCCACTGGAGTTCGGTGGAGCTCCCTATTGGGCCACGAGCGTGTGAGGGGTGTGCCGAAATGCGCGCGGCGCCGCCATGCCCACGCCGCATGCCACGTGGTGGTGTGTAGCTTCGTGTGCGGCACGAACCGTGGGAGGTGTTTATGTGCCGAAAGGTTTTTCCCGGCGGCCGCCATGCCAACGCAGCCATTGGGCCTTCGGTGGAGCTCCCTATGGGGCCACGAAACGTGTGAGGGGTGTGCCGAAATGGGTGTGCGGGACGCATGCGGACGGCAGCCATTGGGCCTTCGGTGGAGCTCCCTATGGGGCCACGAAACGTGTGAGGGGTGTGCCGAAATGGGTGCGGCGCCGCCATGCCAACGCAGCCACTGGGGCCTTCGGTGGAGCTCCCTATGGGGCCACGAAACGTGTGAGGGGTGTGCCGAAATGGGCGCGGCGCCGCCATGCCATCGCAGCCACTGGGGCCTTCGGTGGAGCTCCCTATGGGGCCACGAAACGTGTCAGGGGTGTGCCGTTAGTGTTATGTGCGAAATGGCGTGCGTTGGCCATGCGGCCGCGGCCACCTGGGGCCCTCGGTGGAGCTCCGTATGGGGCCACGAAACGTGTGAGGGGTGTGCCGAAATAGGTGCGGTGCCGCCATGCGAACGAGCCACTGGGGCCCTCGGTGGAGCTCCCTGTGGGACCACGAAACGTGTGAAGGGTGTGCCGAAATGGGTGCGGCGCCGCCATGCGAACGCAGCCACTGGGACCCTCGGTGGAACTCCCTGTGGGGCCACGAAACGTGTGAGGGGTGCGCCGAAATGGGTGCGGCGCCGCCATGCGAACGCAGCCACTTGGGTCCTCGGTGGAGCTCCCTACGGGGCCACGAAACGTGCGAGGGGTGTGCCGAAATGGGTGCGGCGCCGCCATGCCAACGCAGCCACTGGGCCTTCGGTGGAGTTCCCTATGGGGCCACGAAACGTGTGAGGGGGGTGCCGAAATGGGTGCGGCGCCGCCATGCCAACGCAGCCACTGGGGCCTTCGGTGGAGCTCCCTATGGGGCCACGAAACGTGTGAGGGGTGTGCCGTGATAGTGGGAGGAGGGGGGAGGGAGGGGGGAGGAGGCGGAGGAGGAGGAAGGAAGGAGAGGAGACGCGGGGCACCGTCTCTTCAAAACGAGGACCCAACACCACAGGATGGTTGGGAAAAACGAGGCTGCAAAGAGTGGTGCAGGGGCAGGCTGGAGCCGCCACCCACTGAGGGACACCAACACGCGCCAAGTTGCCCAGCTGACAGGCCAAGCCGACGCGGTCGCATGCCTTCCGCCAGACGGGCGCTGCCCGGGCGATCGTCTCGGACAGCGCCTCCGCTGCTCCAGCGCGGGCTCCCGGGCCACCTCATCCGCGCCACTCTGGACCTCCTCGCCGGCCCACCGCAAGCGCCATCGAGCGAACAGGCGGGCCCTGCCTGCCACCCACAGGCAGCGCAAGGCGAGCAGGGCGGGCTCCTCGAATAACTCTGCGATTCACGCGCGCAGCTCCAGAGGCAGCAGCAGGAGCTCCTCCACGGTCCATCCGTCTAAGCCAAACTTCTTTCGCCGCGGCACGCGGCGAAGCAGAGAGGACATCAACTCCGCCGTCCAAGGCACCCACTCGAGGAACGCCGGGAGGACATCCAGAGCCTTGGGCCACTCCCCACCAAGCGGCGGCGCCGAATGCCGCTGCCGCAGCGCGCGCCAAGGCCCGTCGAAGTGGCGGAAGCGCGCCGCCGGGCCACCGCGGAGCGCTAAGAGCCAGCTCTTGCACACGGCTGCTTCGCCAGCCGCCGCGCCAGCAGCTGCGTCGGGCACCAACCCCTGCTTCCAGCGTCGACCCGCCCAGATCCATGCAGCCCTACCCGTTGACCAGATTCTCCCGGGCCCAACTGCACCGCTATTGCCTGCGCTGGGGCCGCGCCGCCGCCTGGGCAGCGCGTCGGCTTCCGCCTGCCCCAGCAAGTCGGCCAGAAACCCCGCGTCCGGCCGCGAATCTGCCTGCGCTGCCCGCCAGAGTGCATGGTCGGCACCGGCCTGCCGCAGCGCCGTCAATGTGGACAGCGCGACTTGACGCGCAGACAGAGTCCGGCGCCGCGGGTGGCGGAGGCCGCGGAAGCGACGGAGGCGAAGGAGAGCAGCGTCCGCCTGCAAGTCCGCGGCGTCGCCTCGGCCTCCTCGCGTCGGCAGCCGATCGGCGGCCACTGTGGCGGCCGCATGGGGCCGGGGCGGAGCCGCTGGGAGCCCTCGCCGACTCGCCAGCCATGCTGCCATGGCCGAGCGGAGCGAATGCCATGACGACGCCGCGACGTCGGGGCGCCCCAGCGCGTCGTGGAAGGGCGCGCTGGAGCCAGCGACCACAGCGGCGGCGACCTCCTGGGCCCCACGCGCCCCCCAACCCTCAACAGCAGCGCGTCAACTCGCACATCTCCGTCGATGAGGCCCTGGCGAAGAAGGTACCTGGAGCTCTGCTACGGGGCACTGCAATTGCGGACCTGCTGGCTGACATCGCCGCCCAAGAAGTGCGAGTAGCAGCCCATGACAGGTCCCGTGTGCAGACGATGGAGGTGACGGCATCCATCGCAGCTGTGCTGGCGGTCCCTGCGCCCTGCCCTGGACGCCGCTGCTGCTGCTGGTGATGGGCGTCGCCAGCGGATTACTTCTGCCAGGGCGAGGCAGGCTGCGCCGGCACAGAGCATGCCGTGCCACGGGCTTCGCAAGCTGACCGAGCTCTGTAGCGAGATGAATGGGCCCGCGGGCATGCGGGTGCAGATGGTGGGCCAGCGAGTCGACGAGTCGCACCGCCTCTGCCTGCAACGCAAGCTGGACAGCTGGTTCTGCGAGCGCTATGGCTTATTCGGAATGCCTGGCGGGAGGCGGCTGGGCGAGGGGCTCACGAAGCCATGTCCGCCAGCGGGGCCACCATCACGGGCCTCGTCTACCTGGATCGGGTGCGGCGTGGGCCGTGGCCCAAGGCGGCCAAGCGAGCTGCGGGGCGCCCACAGAAGCTCGCCGTCGCCGCGCCGATGCAGCCAGCTCTTGATCCTGCGCGCCTTCATCCTGGACGGTTTCTTGTTCGCTGTCTGCGTGGAGGCCCTGCTGCCGCCAGCGCGAAGACGCCTCTCTGAGAGTCAGTACCGCTGAAAGTTCCTGATGGGGAGCAGGGTGAATACGCCCCTCCGGCGCGTCTTCGGCGTTGTCGTGGTCGTGGAGGCGGCGCCCAGGTGTTTCTCCTTCGGCCAGCTGTCATTCGACCTTCAGCCGCGCGATTCGAGGCTCTGCACCGCCCGCTGGGCCGCGGGCTCCCGTCTTCGACTGGAGCTTCGTCTCGATCGCACTCCTCCCGCTTGCGCTCTCGGTCCGCGCTTTCGCCGAGCCGCCGCCCGCGGGCGCCCCGGGCCTCGTGCGCTGGCTGGTGTTCCTGAAGCTGCCCCTCGGCCGCCGCGCGTGGGTCCCCCGTACGGGCGCCTCGTGCGCGGCGTTCCGGGGTCTCGCGCGGCCGTCGCCGGGGGGCGCCTCGTGAGCGCCGTGTGCGTGGGCTGGCGCTTCCATCGCACCACGCACAGCGTGCACGAGAAATCTTACACTGGCTTACATAGCTTGCGCCAAATAGCTTGCACCACACAGTTTGTACAACACTACTGGCCCAACCTAACTTGCACAACATAGACAGCACCACATAGCTTAGACCACGTAGCTTGCACCGCGTAGCTCGCACCATGTTGTTTGTGTCACATGGCTTCCGAATCCGAGGAGTGCAACCTTTCTGTTTGGGGCTCACGTTGGCAAGCATTTTCTTGTGGAACAAGCTCACCCTCGTGGCATGACCAGACGTGTCGGTTGGGCGGCCTGGGCGTTTCGCTGGAGACTTCCCCACCATCCAGGGTCCTGGAGCTTGAATTTACCAAGAGCCACAAATAGAGGGCGCGTGCCTTCAAAATGTAGCTCACGGATCAGCGCCACGCACACTCGTCACCCTCAAAATGTTTCCGATCTATACACGGATTGAGGGCGGGTGATGTTCACAATGTCGCATCCGCCGCAGCGCTGCGCACACTGTTGTACGACGCTTCCAACAGCTGTACGCATGGTGGACGTGGGTTTTCAAGATGTAGCGATCGCATCAGCACCGCGCATTGTCGTCTCGACAGTTATCACAGCCACACGGATGAAGTAGAGTTGCTTGAAATACGGCGCTAACCTGCTAGGCCTCGTCCTGCTCCTGTTCAATTCCCCCCTCTCCTCCTCCTCCTCCTCCTCCTCCTCCTCCTCCTCTCCTCCTCCTCCTCCTCCTCCTCCTCCTCCTCTCTCTCCTCCTCCTCCTCCTCCTCCTCCTCTCCTCCTCCTCTCTCTCTCCTGCTCTGCTCCTGCTCCTGCTCCTCCTGCCTCCTCCTCCTCCTCCTCGTTCCCGTCCTCCTCCCCTCCTCCTCTCTACCTCCTCCTCCTCCTCTCCTCCTCTCTCCTCCTCCTCCCCCTCCCCCCCTCCTGCTCCCTGACGTCCTCCGCCTCCTGCTCCTCAACGTCCTCGTCCTGCTCGTCGTCTCCGTCTGCAGGGTCGGCGGCACTGGCCGTAAGGCCTTCGCAATATAGCTCTCACCTCATTGCATAGCACATTCGTCGTGAACACTGCCACCAGCTGCACGGATGGAGGGCGGCTGTTTTTCGAGATGGGGCTATCCCTTGAAACTTCGCATGGTTTGTCCATTCCCCAATTGCAGCACGCGCAATACTTACACGAAATGGAAGCAGTTATGTTCATAATGTGGCTCTCGCATTTGGCGCCCAGCACGCCCGTCTGAGAAGCTTCCCAAATCTAAACGTACAGGGAGATGTTACAAAACGCGAGATGTGTCACACACGTTCCCACCAGCTGCAAAGATGAAGGGCGTTTTTTTTTCAGAACAGGGCTCTCGCTGGAGACGTCACCAGGCATAACTCCATCGTTCAATCGTATGCAACGCTTCACGGATGGATGTTGGCGGCTCATTTCCAAAGCGGCGCCCTGGCTCGTGACACATCCGAGAATCTTGCTACAAGGATGCAGGGGGGCTCAGGAGGCGCTCACCGTAATGAAAAGGGCTTCCCCACTTCCGTTCTCCAGGTGTTCCTCCCTCCTGTTCTTCCCTCCTCATCCCCCCCTTCTGGTTCCCCCTCCACCTCCACCTCCCCCTCCACCTCCTCCTCCGCCTCCTCCGCCCTTTGCTCGTCTTCGAGGTTCCCTTTCCCCCCAGCCGCCCCAGCCCCCCCGCAGTCTCCGCGTACTGGGTGAGTTTCGAGTTGAACAGGGGGTCCGCCTCGGGGCCGCCGCCGGTGCGCTGGGCGCGGCGGGCCCGCCAGCCTTCGCCCGCGCCTGCCGCCCTCGTCTGCGGTCGTCGCCGTCTCCGTCGCCGTCGCCGTGGTCTTCGCCGTAGCCGTCGCCGTCGCGGGGGGGATTGCGCGCTGAGCAGGATGGAGGGAGGAGGGAGGAGGGAGGAGAAAAAGAGGGAGCAGAGAGGAAGGAGGGGGAGTGGTAAGGGAGGAGGAGGAGGAGGACGAGGAGGAGGACGCGAAGGAAAAGGAGGAAAAGGAGGAGGAGGACAAGGACGAGAAGGAAAAGGAGGAGAAGGAGGAGGGAGGAGGAGGGACGATGAGAGACGAGGAGGGAGGGAGAAAGCGAACGGAGCGGAGGAGGAGAAGGAGGAAGAACAGAAGGAGGAGAGGGAGGAGAGAGGAGGAGGGAGAATAATGAGGAGGAGAAGAAACAGAAAGACGAGGGGGAGGAGGAGAAGGAGGACGGAGGGGGGGGAGGAGGCGGATGAGTCAGAGAAGGATTGAGAAGCGAGGAGCAGAGAGAACGAGAGAGAAGGGGGAGGAAGAGGAGGAGGAGGTGGAGGAGGAGGAGGAGGAGAGGGAGGAGGAGAGGGAGGAGGAGGTGGAGTTGGAATAACAGAGAGAAGGGAGAGGGAGGCAGAACAGGAGAGAGCAGGGAGACACGACACTCCAGAAGGGGGACAGGAGGGATATCCACAACAACCTTCAGAGTGGCTGGCTGGTTGATTGGCCCGCTCTGCGGGCAGTCGAAACGCCCCACGGAAACGCTGCTCGCCTTGGCCGCACCAGGGCGTCACGCAGCGGCACTCTTGTGCATAGCGCGCTCCCACGTAGTTGAAGACCTGGCAGCAGCTCGATGTCGCGGGCAGCATGGAGTGGGTCCCTGCATGCACTCTTTTCTGCTGCAAGCCGAGATGGCTGGCCCAGGACGCCCGAGCAGGAGACCTTTTTTTTTGAATCGGCGATAACCCGGGTTATCCCGGGGGGGGCCGGCCGATAACCTAACCCTCGCGCTGTGGGCAGCCCTGCATATGCCCGCGCCCCCCCCCTGCGGACTTGCACAACCAACAAGGTTAGGCTATCCTGGGGGGAGGGGAGGGGGGGCAAGCACGATAACCCGGGTTATCGCCCGACCCTTAAAAAAACAGCTTCCAGCGGAACAGCCTCCGACGGGCTGCTTGCCTCGACGATGGTCGCACCCCAAGCCAACGGGGAACGCATCCCACGGCCGAAGCGGCCACGCGGATTCGTCGCCCGCGGCCCAAGCTGGTCAGTCCTAGGTTTGTGGATGCCACGGCAATGGACACCCGAACAGTCCTATCATTGAATTTAAAATGTGTTATGAATGTCGGAAAATGTACATGGTTTAAACCTGTGTTTACATGTTTAATACATGTTTTTAGACATCTGGGAAATATTGGGCAACGTGCTTCCTCTACATTGATCATCCTCCACAACCCTGGGTGGGCAGGGTGTCAAGAGTGCGTGGCCCTGGCCAGGGCACTAGGCGACAGCAGAGAGACGCGAGGAGGAGGAGGAGGAGGAGGAGGAGGATCATAATGGATCTTGCTAGGCCCAGCCGGCAACACAGGCAGCACAAACAAGCTGGGATCGGGAGCAAGGTTGGAAACGCCACTGGCAGACAACCACGTGGGAGGCCTCACAAACGAAGCTGGGCAGCACCAGCAATAGCACGCGAGTTCTAGTCAGCTGCCGCTGCCTGGACTGCGTGAAGCGGCCAAGAGGAGACAGCCCACGGAGCCCAGAGCCCAGCCCATCTCACCGCGGCGCACGCCCGTAACGACTGCGTCTGCCATATTTTTCTCCGCCAGAGGCAGGAGTAAACCAAGGTGGGAAACGGGCGGTTACCCGCCCATGTACCTGGGACGGAACCCCAGCGGTACAGGTGCGAGGGGAGGAGGAGGCAGGAGCAAGCAAAAGGGAGGAGGATAAGGAGGACGAGGAATAGGAGGATTACGAGGACGAGGAATAGGAGGAGGAGGAGGAGGAGGAGGAGGAGGAAGAAAGGACGATGATGGGGGGGAGGAGGACGAGAAACAGGAGGGAGGAGCGGGAAGGAAGAGGACGAGGATGAGGAGGAAGAGAGGGAGGAGGTGGAGTTGGAAGAACAGAGAGAAGGGAGAGGGAAGCAGAACAGGAGAAGGCGGAGGAGCGAGGAGTGGCGAGGGGGAACGAGGAGGAGCGAGGTGGAGGAGGGAGGGGGTGAGAGAGGGTGGATGGGAGGAGGGAGGGACGAATGGGGGGTGGTCGAAAAGGAGAGGGATAAGAAAGAGGATGGAGGAGGAGGTGGAGGAGGCTGGGCTGGGCTGGACTGGACTGGACTGGACTGGACTGGACTGGACTGGACTGGACTGGACTGGACTGGACTGGGCTCGACACTCCCGCGCACGGGCACCATCTAGGGCGCTGCGGGCGCGGCGCCGGGGCGCCGGAAAGGAACGAAAGCGGGAGCTGGGAGGAGGGGGAGGAATGAGGGAGGAGAGGAGGAAGAGAGGAGGAAGAGGAGGAGGAGGAGGAGGAGGGAGGAGGAGGAGGAGGAGGAGGAGGGGAGGAGGAGGAGGAGGAGGAGGAGGAGAGGAGGAGGAGGAGAGGAGGAGGAGGAGGAGGAGGGGAGGAGGAGGAGGAGGAGGAGGAGGAGAGGAGGAGGAGGAGGAGGAGGAGGAAGGAGGAGGAGGAGGGGAAAAGAGAGGGGAAGAGGAGGACAAGGAGGAGAAAGGGGGGAGGAAGGGAGGAGGAAGGGAGGAGGAAATGAGGAGGGAGTTGGAGGAGACGGGGACGGTTGACTGGTTGGGCTCTGCATCTCGGAGAGTCGGGGAAACATCCCCGCAATGCAACGGTCGATATCTCCCGTCAAGACGGCATGCAAGTGGCCAGGCCCACGCGTGAACAGCTCGGCCGAGCGACCCAGACATAGCAAGCGGGGAAGCCGAACATGGACAAAGCGGGGGAGGGGTGAGCGCGCGACAAGCGAAGGCAGGGAACGGGCAAAGGGAAGAGCCGAGAGGAGGTGGACCGAATTCAACGGCCCGACTTACACTTGGGAGCACTCCGAAATCAGCTACACGATACTGACTGCGTGCCCCCTCGCGTGGTAGGGGGGCCACACCTAGCATCACAGAGCAGAGAAGCACAAGAAACCACGGCGGCATCATCAAGGCACGCAATTGAAAAAGGGTACACGCAAACGGGCGCTCAGAGAATCGCTCTGGCGACGAGACCTCAGAATGTCGCAAAATAGTCCAGCAGGACCGCGAGGCTGTCGGTGTCCCCGCAGACCACCATGTCGAATAGTTCGTTCACTTACGTGGCGGAGGCGGGCGAGTGTCATCTTGCGCTTGACCGCTTGGACAGCGGCCTCCATCTCCAGGATCACGCCCTCAATCTCGCGCAAGAATCCACCCGCAGCCTGGCGAGATGCGGGGTCGTCCACCAGGGCCGCCGTGCGCAACCTCATCGCCAGAGCGTGTCCACGAAGCTCAACGGGCTGCTCCTGGTGGCGCATTTCCTCCGTCACGGCGTTCAGCATAAAATGGGTGCCGCTCATGAGTTGGGGCTTGAGGGCCAGGGCGCGCGAGGTCAGCTGGGGGAACACCGGAATCTTCTAAGTCATCTCCACGGAATTCCGCGGCTCCGCGTGCTCGATCAAAGCCTGCCAAACCTCCGAGACCAGGTGACTGCGCTCTGCGAAGATCTCTGAATCTCCGGCAAAATCCTTTTTGCCGGCAACGGGATCCTCCTTGGCGTCCTCGATGACTGCGTCCTAGGTGGTCTCGCTGATGGGCGGCGCCGTGTCCGTGTTTTTTGGCGAGCGTCGTTGCGGCGCTGATGGCGTGCTTAGTGTCCGTCTCTCACTCCAGCTGCCGAAGATCTTGCTGCATCTCGGGATCGGTGGCTCAATCCCGCGGGGTCGCAAAGGAGGGGGCGATGTCTGCATTGACTGACGGATTGTTGTGCGTCGTCAAGTATGACGGCGGGGTCATCTGCGGAGCTCCCAACTGATCTGGCACATGGTTGACCACAGCATCAGAATAGAGCCCCTGTTCAGGGAACGGGTCCTTCAGGATTTCCTGTCAGCACGTCCTCCGACTCTCGGTGGCCCGCGCTTCCTGCGGCAGCTCGGCGTCGTCGTCCACAAGGCGCACGACGACTCCTGCAGCCTGCGGCATCGCCTCGAACCCGGGGGCGGTGAAATGCGAGCTCTCGCCCGTGAGGGGAGTCTTGTGCGAATTGTCGCGGGGCACCCTCTGGGCGCGATCCGCCATTGCCTGGACGGCCTCCTAGGTCGTCGCCGCCGCTGGGAGGTCTCATCAGCTCATCCGTGCCACGTCCTCGGGCTCAGGCACCAGCGCGTCCAGCACCAGACCAAACCTCGTCCAGCACCTCAGCTGCTGGTAGATGATGTGCAACTCCGTCTTGCTGATCTTCGCCTCTTGGTAGGGGTCCTTGATGGCCCGACGAGCCATGGCGGGGACGTTGCTGTTCACGAGAAGGTACACACTGATGATGAAGGCGAGGCTGACAGAGGCCACGGCAGCCCACCAGGGCGGAGGCAGCAAATATGACGCGGGCCCTGAAGCTCGCGATGAACGGACGGGCCGCCTTACCGAGCATGCTCAAAGCCAACACGATTTGAGCCAAAAATGGCAAGGGCAGGGAGTCGGGGGATGCTGAGAGTGAGAAGTGGGGCGAGTAATAGGAGGGGGCGGGGAAGGAGGAGGAGGTATGCTAGACGCTTGAGGTTGGAGACCGCGCCTATGTCGTCCCTCTGGGTAGCCCTACATGCAGAAGAGTAGGAAGTACAAGAGGATGCGGAAGAGCATGAGGAGGGGGAGGGGGATGTGTTGCAGGTAAAGGATGACGGAGTGGAGGTTAAGCTGCAAGCGCCATGCCTCCTGCTCCGATACCCGACGCAACAAGAACGTGGCGTGGGTGTTTTCGAGAAACGGAAATGATGCCACGTGCGCATGCGATACAAAATCGTGGCATGTGCATAGTATCTCCGTCATCGCCGCCGTCGTTGTCATGGCTTCCATCACTGTTACCATTAACATCACTGTCATCGCCACCATCCGAAATGCTGCACCGAAACTGGTATCACCGCCAGAACCCCCATCCCCTTCCTCCTTACCCTTCCGAATCCCCCACCCGCCTGGCCAAATTTCGTGGCGCCCTGAAGCACTGCCATCTTCTCCACGAGATCTTGGAGCGTGCGCTTCTGCGAGCC